TTTTTGTAAAATCTGATTATATTCCGTGGTCCTTCATATTTCCAAATATCTGTGACCTGTATGTGATCTCCTGTTTAAACTGCAACCATACAACTCGAATGTCCCGTATTCGCAGCACGCAATGACATCACAAGTAGGGAGCATGCTTGGTGTTTACGTATGTATAAATGGACGGTAGTGCTGGAGTGCATCTCGTGAAATTTAATTTCTTTTCCAACCAGAGTCAGTATATTAACAAAGCAGATATTTCAAAAAAATGGAAATGAAAGACTGCTCTCCGTGTTATCAGCCGCCATGGTTGTTTTTTTCCCCGCTTTCTGCATGGCGAGACACAGAAGTGACCTTTGTAAAGTATAAATGATGTACAAATGATCAGAAACAAAACAAATTGGATTTGGGTCACTTCAGGGTCCAGTGTAAACATAATGTAACTAGAACTGGAAAACGGTTTAGTTTAAACTGGTTTTGACTTCAGAAGCAATTGGGGGGGAAAAAATGTCATCACCAACCCTCACTGTCCCCTGGAAGTGATCTCTATTGTACTTTCTGATGTATCAAAGCTTGTTGAGCTTAAAAAGCGTTTTCTTTTGTCAGAGTTTTTATATTTACATCACAGTTCTGCAAATATTTTAAAAACACTGGAACCAACATTTCTTTACTTTGACCCAAACAAACTTAACAGCTTACCTGAAACCATGCTGTATTGTTTTGTAAAATATGTCCCTACGTTAGTTATATACAGGTTTAAAATGCAGGATGTTAAAGTTGCAGCCTTAAATAAGAAAGTTTGAGCAAAAAAATAAATAAATACATAAAAATTCTGCTTCATTTAGCAGAAAGGCTAGACTTTTCCTGGTTCCTAAGACACAGACAAACAAACGTGCAAAGACACTAACATGATCCTGACTGTAAAACAAGGTTTTCCCACCAAACTGATGATTAAAAAAAAAAAAAAGAAATAAACTGTGCATGACTGCTGAGCTCATTGTGAGACCGAGACTGCCCTGCGGTCTACATCATGAACAGTAGTTCTTTAGATGTCCAAAGCAGGCGTATTAAAGCTTTAATAACTTCTCCAGACTCTGGTGCAGAAGGTCACAAGCTTTTAGAAACAGCCATCACATGCCAGAGACTATTTAAACTCGCTTTTATCGCTTAGGGCCACAATTTGGACGGTGAATGAGCATCATCAATTACGCAGTAATTAATTACACCTTACAGGCTTTCCATTTAACTCCACACTATATATATATATATATATATATATATATATATATATCTTAAATAAGAACAAATTAGAGCATTGCGTGTCTGTATATAAATGGGAAAATATGCGGACTTGCTTTATTACATGCATGGAAAAAAATGCGCAGTTATCGAGCGCTGAAGTTTCCATATGAATACTTAAAATATACATGTCGAGTATCCAGAAAAAAACAAAAAAAAAAGGTCAAACTTTCATTAAAATGCGCCTCTGGTGTCTTATTAAACTTTTTTCTTTTTTATTTATATATATATATATATATATATATATATATATATAAAGGAGCATAAACTCACCGCTGTGGTTCAACAGGCAAACAAGCAGAAACAGAAACGCTCCTCGATAGAAAGCCATGTCTTCTCTCTCCTCTCCTATCCAGACCAACACTAACTAAACACTAGTGGGAGGCAGCGTGGAAGTGAAGTTCGCCAGCAGCCCGGAGGAGACAAGAGGAGGAGGAGGGGAGAGAGGGGAGGAAAGGGGAGGGGACGCAATTAAGGCTCTCAGTCTGCCGGGGTCCTCCTCCTAGTTGCTTAGCAGAAAGCAGCTTATCTGTTTTTGGTGATTTTCTGGTGATTTTTCTTTACAAGAAATGTTCCCTCTGTAAATTTAGAGCAAAGAGAAAGTCCTCAGGTTGTGATTAACTATGGCTGCCTTATCACTCCACACCTTAGTGGTCCTGCTGGCTGGATGGAGCTCAACTCATCGTTTGGAGGTGGGGAGTCCATTTAGATTTTAATTCTTCGGATGCAGAAAATAAAAAAGAAAGGCTTGGTCCTGATATTATGGTATCTTTAACCAACAGGCAGTTAGTCTGGCGCCCCTTAGCTACTAAAAACCTGTCCAAATATATCTTTTTTTTTTTCTACCACTGTAACCTGGATTAAAATAGATATGAAGTAAAAGCGAGGAAAACCTGAATCAGTTTTGTGAGTACCGGGAATTTTAAGGATTTCTGATTTTCAGGAGGAGCAGCAGGTGTTTCATTCTATGTAGACCAGATCTTTAACCTATAGGTCAGAGGTCACGGATTAGCGGACCAGAGTCCAGATCACTGTGCAGCTACATTATAGTTTTTTATTTATTGACTGTGCAATATCCTGTGCAATATGCTGAATGTGCAATATTTCTCCCCCTGTATATAAGCCATCTGGATTGTACATATTTCTATTTCTTACTTTTTTTATTTCTTATTTTTATTTTGTTTTTCATTGTGTGCGACACAAGTACACTTGCACCCTAATCCTATTTATCTTGATATACTGTATATACCTGGATATACTGTATATATATATTGCTTATTCTTAATGCACCTTTTTCCTCCCTGTTTGCACCTTCTGTAACTTTTACTCTACTTCAAAAAACACTTAAGACTTGAAAATGGAAAAATGCTCTATATTCTTTTTATATTTTTTATTCAAAAATTCAATTTATAACATGGATGCATAAAAAACTGCT